CCTCGCATGCTATGCGAATAAGCTCGAGCTGGTCTTCTTCGGGGAGCGGATGCTCCGGCTTGCTTTGGGATAGATGGGCAAAGACCCGCTTGGGTAGGTCCCGCTGGGAGGCCCACTGCAACCAGGCTGTCATGATGTCCTGCATGTCTGAAAGGCTTGGCTTAGGTTGGCTCCAGTCGGCTGAGCTGGCGTTGCCTGCACCGTCGCAGATGGGAGCCCGGTTTGGTGTGAGCTCGGCGTGGTGTTGAAGGGCTGAGGTGAGAGTGAGAGGTTGGTTTGGTTTGGTGGAGAGGGGCATGGCTGCAAACATTCCGGCAGCTTCAAAGGCTGCCAGGCCTGGGTCTGCACAAGGGCAAAGGAACTGTGGCCAGAATGACCCTGTCGGAGTCGGGCTCTGGGCAAAGGAAAAGTCCCCCATCATGGACTGCCTCGCAGAAGGGAGCTGACTGAAAGAGGAAATGGCCCGCAGGGAGGAAGAGCAGGGCTGATGCTCCGGAGGAGCGGATGGCTTGCAAGAACCTGCATCCACATGAGGTGCGAGCGCTCCGAGGTCCGCCAGGATGCCGAGAACGGTGCGGGACCAAACTGCCTGCAGAAGGAGGTCTGGGAGCTGCTGCGGGTCTCCTGAGAGAGGTCGATGGCACACACATCGGCGTCCTGCGCGTGTCTCAGGCATGAGCTAAGGTCTTAAGGCTAGGAACTAACGGGGACTTAGGGGCTTTGCGGCTGGCAGATGTCCAGACAGGGTTGGCAAAGCGTCGCCCTGCACGGCCCCCCCGGGGTTCAAGGTCTGAGTTGGCTGAGGCTGCGGGGGTGGTTGGCTGAGGCAGATCGGCCGAGGCGGCCGGAGGGTCCGTCGGCTGTTCCGGAGGCTGATCCTGCTCGGGCTGAAGGTCTGGCTGTGTCGGATAGGTGGTGCCTAGTCAAGAAGGCTTCTTATCGTGGTCTATGGCACAGTGCTCCTTGCCGCAACCCCTGACTGCGCAGAGGTGGGCGAATTTGCAATTTGGCAAGGCGCATGGTAACGCTTACAAAGGACTTTACCCTTGGCTTTCTGGCTGGCCAGGCTTCCGACTTGGATGGGCTATCCGGCTTCTGAAGGCCTTTGCCGCGACCCTTGCCTTTGCCGCCTTCTTGCTCGGCGGGGGAGGCGGGTTCCCGCCATTGGGTCGGCGGTTAGGGCCCGGAGGCGTCGGCGGCGGCCTGGGTCTTGGCTGAAGGAGGTTGGCTAGATCGCTGCGAATGCTGGTCACCTCGTACAAGGCTTCATCCAGGCTCCAGCCGGAACCCACAAGCCCACAAGGCTGGATATGGTGTGCCAAATCTTTCGGTCCCCGCAAGGAGCTCCTGAGTAGTGGGTCCGCGAAGGGAGGAGTCGGCAAGGTCTGGGAGGGCTAGGTGCTCGACACGCTTGTCGAAGGCTTTGAGGTTGTTGAGTCTGAGGTGGGCTGCACCACACAGGGCCCACGCGTTCCGAAATACGGTTTGGATGCGCTGAAGCCAGGAGACCGAAAGGCGGAGATGTGAAACGGCCATCTCAGGAGTAATTATCGTCGTATATTGCTGAAGCCAGAAGCTGTGCTTCCGTCCTCATAGGCTTGGAGGACTTGGCTTCCATGATTTCGGAGTACTGTTTAGAGCTAAGTCGTAGCTGCCAGGGTATCCACTTCAGCTTCTCGCCAGGCTAAGGCTGTGTTGCACAAGGCTGAGAAGGCGTATAGAAGGCATCGTGTCATCGTCCAAAAGCTCGCCTCCAGCAGGCGTCGGCAAGCCGCTCTGCGGCAGAAAAAGGCTACACTAGGGCACATCGGACAAAAGGCTGCCATGGTTCGCAGGCTGCCTTGTCCGCCCCCGCTGGCTGCGCATGAACCGACCCCCAGGGTCCGTTCTGAAAGAGGCTGATGTCCGCAACGGTTCCTGAACCAGTCTGATCGTCGGAGTCCGAGGAGTCGGCTTGCAGGGCCGCGTAACTTTCAACTAGCAGGGCCTCAATATCGCCGGTATGGTTGGCGGCAGGCTCTCCTCCAATGCGTCCCCTCCCTTCTCGTGGGCGTCGGCTGTCGCCGTTTCCTTGGCTGGGGTCGAGGAGGAGGCTGGCTGTGTGTTACTCAAGGCTGCTTCCAGTTCGGCTTCTCGGGAATAAATAAATCTATCCAGCCCGGCTCCTAGGGCTGCGAGTGGAAAGCTCTGCGGTGGGAAGGCCGGGCTAACCTCGAATGGCGGCTCAACTGTAGGGCGCTGTCCTCCCCTGGCGATGGGCCTCGTGGGCCTCCAGCCCGAGGCGCAGGCCTGGGAAATCTCCGTTTGCAGGGCTAGGGCTCCGAGCGTGTCATCTCTGCCATATAGGCACGCTTGGGTTCTTGTGGTGGCCTTGCTGTTGACGTATCTTGTCTGCTGCCTGAACTTGTGCTCCGGCGCTGAGAAGGCAGACTTTGAGGCTGTGCATTGTGAAGGCTGAGGCTTCCTCTGGCGTGAGAAGATCTGGGGACTGGCCCCCCAGATGGCGGCGACACATGAAGTATCGAAGGCAACCGAGGGACTGGCTGTAAGACATCGGCTGGTGGTAGGCTGTGGCCGGCTTGCCCGGGAAGCCTCCCAACATAAAGTCAGGGCAGGTCTGGGAGCCGTAGTGAAAACGTAATCGGACCTTTCCACAAACTCAGAGCCTGGTAAGTAGCGGAGTTTTGCAATTCACAATGTGCTCCATGAAATTGGGCTCATGCCAAAATCACGTGTTAACACATGTAAAACTGTTCAAGCAACGTGTGTACAAAGGGCAGGGATGTAATGTTTCATCACCCCGCCTGAGGTTCGTTTGCACACTACCGTACAGCTACGAAGCTCACGAAACTAAAGTGAAACTCACTCCTCATGCCCTGTGCACCGTAAACTCTGGCACACGTAACACGGGCTCACCATTCTCACACATGGCCTGCACATCGTAAAGGGCATTGATGTGCGTAACACGGCCTTCACATTTCACAAGCCTGGTAACCGTAAAGGGAATTGGTGACCGCAAATGGCATCATGTTTGCGTGCTTGCATCACGCCTCTCATACTGCCTTCCGTGCGGCAGTTCATAGAACTCCAGCTGTATCATTGCATTCTCGTCTCGAAGAGAACGATTCTCGCACCTCAGCTCGTGAAGTGCTCGCTTGTCATCCTTCTGCTCATCCCAAAGAGCCGAACACAAAGCTCCAAGTTCTCGAACTTCAATGCGCTCTCGATTGAGCGCACGCCGAGTGCGCACGAGCAAAATGCTCAGCGCCATAAGCACACACAGCAGCCCACAAAGAATCATAAAGGAAATCACATCATGGCTGCTTGTGGTTGTCGTTGTTGTTGTCGTTGTAGAAGATTCCACTTCCATCTCATGCAAGAAACCGGCCGAAAATGACCCAAGGCTCCAAGCAACTGTTGCCATAATAACACCCATGCAGTACACTGCCCCACGACGGTACCATGGCCCGCCGGGTGTTGCAACGTACAACCATCCATCATCACCATTGTCAGCACCGTGCTCTGCTGTACTCTCCATAGCATAAATTGCCATGCACATCGAAACAAGCACTGCAAGAAAGAAGCATGCACTCATGTTTGCACTTGTACCCGAACTCGCCTCTGCAGGAATCGGCATCATAAGCAAAAGCATTGCTACTCGCTTCACCCACGTGCTCGATGCATCACTTCCTACCACTGTTCGAACACGTTTGACCTGAGCTTTCATCGACGCCGTCGTGACCGTTTGCTCCCACTCGCCTTCTCCGATGGGCCTGGAGTGGCAGTCCACAAAATCATGCAGAAATAGCAGCGATCGCAATCGGCTGGGGGCAAGTGGCTTGGTGTGAAGGTCTCCTAAATTGAAGTGAGTCGAGATGTACTTCATGACAAGACGCTTCTGTTGTACAATGTCTTGTAACCATAGTAGCCGGCCCTCAAAATGCTTGCTAGCTTTTGTAACTCCCTGACGCAGACAGAACGCTTTGCAAGACTGATTGTCAACGTACACGATCAAGTCGCAGGGGCTCCGGCTCATAAACTCGATCACAGCCTTCATGAACAATCCCTGGCACGCGCTTCCCACAGCACTGTAGTACTCGCTCTCCATCGAACTCAAACTGATGCACTTCTGGGATCTACAGATGTAATGGACGTACTGTCCATTCACGCAGAAACTGGCCCCGCCGTACGAACGGCGATCCTTCTTCGAACCCGACCAGTCAGCATCCGAAAACACTTCCAACACAGCACGCTCGGAGTCATCTGCACAACCAGAATCATACACATGACTGTTCAGCTTCCTGGTCCCAGGGGCTGCAAACTTCATCAGGATCCCATAATCATTTGTGTTGATGAGGTACTGTATCAGTTTGATCAAACCAACTTTTGCATGCTCCGTCGGCCTCGCCATGTAGCTTGCAAGCATGCGCACAGCATATCCAACATCGGGCCGATCACATGATATGTATAAAGCGGTTCCAACTGCTTGTCGGAATTTGCTTGCATCGGTGTGGTTGAGCTCACGGGTGGTGTCCTTAGCACGAAGTTCACTCCAACATGGGACTCGTTGTCTGTTGTTTTGCGTGACATTCATGGTCTGCTTCATCTGCTCAATGTAAGAAAAGGGCTGTCGAATCACAATACCCTGGTCTGTAATCGTATGCACACGCTTGAGAAAACTGAAGGAGTGACCCACCTCATATGCAAGCTCATACGTGATCTGAAACCGTTGCTCAATCACTGGAAGAAAGCACTCGCGGGCCCACTGGAGCGGCAAAAGAAGTAGAGAGTCATCCACATGAATCATGCCCGGACCCTTGTCTGCACAAACTCCATCGGATCCTGGCTTGCTGCTGACATGCACTACCGCAGGGCACTCTTTGCACTTTTCAACCACAAAGTGTTCTCCGAGATACTCGCAGAAGTGGGAGAACCACTGTTGCGATCCTTCGCGTTGCCCCGGCACCATTCGCATGAACACGAGATCTCGACCTTGCACTTTAGAAACCACCGGGGTCGGCTGAGGGCTGAGGAACCTCCAGGTACGCGTCCTTCACATCGAGCGCCAAAATGGCATACTGCTCGGATGGCCGCGTCTGATTCCAAGTCAGCCACTGCGCCGGAATGAGGCGCACAATATCCGTGCTGGTAGCAGGGCTGAACAACCCTTCTTTGGACTCATCCAACCACCGAAACTCTCGAGCACAGAGTCTGGATCGACGGTACCATGAAGGAATCCCATTCTTCTTCTTGTGTCGCCACGTTCGAACAAACTTTGTAGTGAGGCTCTTCATCGAAGCCAAATCATCATCACTCGTGGCATCTCTCATCACAGACTTCTTCAGCAGTCTGCTGACCTCAACCTGATCAGCAAGGTTGTCGAGCTCGGCCAAAATGGCATCATCGAGCTCTGGCTCCTTTCCATTGTCAGGAAACCACAATCTATCATCATCCTCGGCCACCTCCGCTTCGGGATCGGCCTTGAGCTCACTCGTGAAACTGTCGTCCATCTCGGACTCCATGGACCAAAGCTTGGTCTGAACCTCCCAGCCATCGGGCTGATCCAAGTCGAACTCCCCTTCGTCATTCACCTCATACGAATGCTCACCAAAAGTCACAGCACGAATACGCAGCTTCTTCAACGGTGGCAGTTCAGCTTCGGGAGTGCTGGGTGGATCGGGCCGCATAGACGGATTCGGCCCAGGAGGCTCTTCTGTAACAGCAATTCTCTCATCTGGAACTGCTCGAGCACTTTCAGGAGGAGGCACATTGCGCCTAGGAGGCGCCATTGCTCCGGCCCCGCCCAACGGCGTAACCGGCATCCCAAGTGCCTCAACTGCAGGAGTCGGTGGCTCGCTCGCAGCCTCATCAGGGGACCTTGGTGGTGCCACATCAGGCACTGGGTCGACAGCAGGATTTCGTTGCTTCGGCATTGCAACAAACTTGGTCCCTATAACACCGCTCCCATAGTCCCAAGGGTAGCCTTTCAGCTCACGGTAGAGCTGAACTTCAAGCTCCCACGGCTGACCCACACGACGGATGGATCGTGACAGCCGGATTCCGTCCTTGCCAGCAATGATGTACATGTCGTTGAGCGATGATTCGCTCACCAGGGTCCCGAGCATCCACCGCTTGTCGCCTTTCTGCTTAACATCAAGCTGGCAGTAGACGGGTTCGGCGAAAGGCGCAATTCGCCCACTGTACTTAGCCCCACAGGCCCTTTCGTAAGCTGTCATGTTGCCAATGACTCTGTATCTGTTGAGCAGCCATGCACTGTGCACAAACGCCCATGCAAACAGCACATGTGTCGTAGGTAGTGGAAGGCCGGTGCGGTGACGGGCCTGATCAAGCAAGGTGTTTGCGAGCTTCCGCACTGAGTCGATGGCCTTCTCACAAAAGCCTAGGGAACCTTTGGCACCTATAACAGGATTCTGCACAAGCGTTTGCAACCCGAGTCGCTGTCGGGCCGTAACAATGGCACGCTGAAGAGTCAAAGTGGAGGGCTCGTTGTCACACTTCAAAGTCACAGTGGTGTGACCGAGGCTCTGGATGAACCTCATAAGCTCAATGCCTAAATACCTTGTATCACCTTTGGACTCACATGGGATCGCTGCGATCATTCCAGTAGCGCTGTCGTGCGCCACAAGACACTTGAGTGCACGCTGGGAGTCCTCGGGAGCAGCATCGAGGTTGCAAATGCCGTCCGGCACACTGTAGCCTGAAAATGAAAAATCAAATTGAATAATTGGATTATCGCGGGGGCCCTCCTTCAAGTACTCACTCCGATCTGGCATTGCTCGCATGCTGATGCAGTGTGGGCACCACGGCTTGAAAGGCAAATGCGTGCATTCATGGAGGAACCGTTCCGCCTCAGTGGGAGCGGCCGCTACAGGCTGAACCCTTGGTTGCCTTTCACCTGAAGACTGAGCATCGGCAGCAAGCTCCAACTCTAAGGCCAAACGCTGCTTCTCAAGATATCCCTTGACACGACTGAAGAGACGGGACTTGGAGCCGGCCGTGCTGAGGTTGAGCTTGGTTGCTGCAGTTTTCAAAACAGCTAGGCTGGAGTCGTGCGAAATGAGCACACCATCAAGACTCAGCGGCTCGACATTGCCGGCTGGCACTCCAGCTTCTAGCTGTTCGGGCAGTGGCATTGGCGCTGGGCTCGATTGTCCAGCTGCATCCTCTAGGCCTTGCATAGCCTCATCTTCAGGCACCACACGATCGTGCTCAACTGTCCCGACAGGCGCTTGCTCAGTCTCAGCTCGAAAATGATAAAAATCTGGCTCTGGCAGACCTTGCGGTTCGGTCATGCCTGCAGGGAGCTGCACACCTATCTCAGAAACTGGCTCGACCTGCACGTGCAAAAATGAAATGACCTCGGCAACCTGACCTCCGGGCAGAACTGCTTCAACCTCCTTCAAGTCAGCCCACGGCACACAGTGTTCAAGCAGAAACCATGTTCCACTGCGGCAAATGAGGGTGCTCCTGAGAGGCCAACCGATCGGCGCCATGAAACTCGGATCAACGAACCTACTTGTGCGACCTCTCCACACCAGGTGCCCAGACGAACTGACTTGCCATCCGAAATCGAGAGACTCAAGGGTCGTAGCCTCAAAACGCACCTGGATGGACGCAACATGTAGCTTGCTAGAGCACACCTCATGGACCTCACCTGTGGCTTGAAACTGGGACTGACTGCATTCGGCATCACACGCCTGTTGGCTGTCGGCATCACGGACCTGTTGGCTGTCGGCATCACGGACCTGTTGGCTGTCGGCATCACGGACCTGTTGGCTGTCGGCATCACGGACCTGTTGGCCGTTGGCATCACGGACCTGCTGTTGGCTGTTGGCATCACGGACCTGTTGTCGGCTGTTGGACTGTCGGAGTCCAGCATGAAGCTCACCTTCACTAGCCTCATCCTCAGAGTTGTTGTTGACCTCACCTGCACCTGGATTGTAGTGCATCACGTCTTGCTCCTCACGCTCCACACGGCGAATCTGAGCATTCACAGCAAGAGAGTAGCCTTTGAAAATCAAGGGCACCTCGGCGCCACTCCGTGGGTGGCGCAAGCACATAAGACCTTCGCCTGCATTGTCACCTTGGCCTTGGCGAATGGGCCACCATCCCTTGCGCATGAGCCGTCCAAGGCTCAACAGTGGTTGCGTGACATTTGCAACAATGCATCGCTCTCGAATCACAACGGGCTGGGACCCGCCAAACAGCACGAAGTCAACTAGGCGCTCTGCTTGCACACGCATCGCACCTCCTTGGGCATCTTGCACCTGCAGCGGCCTTGCACGAGCGGCACGGCCACACGACTGGAAAGTCTCGGGATGCACGAAATATCGGCTCCCGAATCGATGATCACGCACTGGCCTGCACTGGTCACTGCTCGAACACACGCAGTAGCAGGACTCGGCACCAAGTCAAGCACAGCATAGTCATCAGGAGGCAGAGTCCACTGATCGTCATCATCCTGGGAATCCATTGCAACGCTCTGTGGCGCAGTCACAGTAATCATACAGACATTGGGCTCATAGGGAAACGGATCCTCCAGGTCAGACATGTCGAAAAGCAGTGGTTCAGCCGCAACACGGCGAACGGTGGACTGTCCTGCCTTACCTTGCTGGGCTTGAAGTGCACTCGCGGAAGAAGGGGCAGTCGTGCTGGTGCCGGCTTCAGACGCTGCAGAAGAATTTGCCTGAACCTGCCGGGCACCTTTCTGATGGCCTTGCATGTAGGCCTTGAACTGAAAGCAGTCCCTCTTGTAGTGCCCCGGCTTCTGGCACCAACTGCACACGGAGGGCCAATTACCCTTTGCATTGCCACCTTTGTCCTTGCCTCCCTTGCTCTTGCCTTTGTCGCCTTTGCCTGCATCGCCTTTGCCGCCTTTGTTGTGCTTGCCTTTGCCGTCTTTGCCTTTATCGCCTTTGCCGCCTTTGGGCCTGCCTTTGCGGTCTTTGCCTTTGTCACCTTTCGCATGCACACGGTCTATGTCCATCGGCGCAACATCGCCGGTATCATGCAAACCTTTCTTTCCATCACTAAGACCATAACTCGAAGCAACACTGGTTTGCCACTTGGTGTTAGCTCCATCCCAACGCAGCACAAGCTCACGGACATCACTGTAAGAGCTGTTATCGGAAATGACTACATTGGCATGCTGACGAAGCTGTCCTGTCAGGCAACTGAGGAGCGGCCATCTTGTTGTTCTCGGGAAGACCGCCTGGCTCGAGGCGCTCGTACTCCTCAAAGGCACTCTCTAAGCGCAGCAGCTGCTGAGCAAGTCCTTGTTGGGCCGCAAAGGACGGCCAGCTGTTGATCGTTCGCAACAAGGCTAAGACGCGATTGCGAGTCTTTGGCATAAGATCTTTGCTGAGAAGCCTCCAGGCCTCAAATCCATTCTGATCCTGAACAGATCGCAGCAATCGCCTGCCGCGCTCATACAGTAGACCATTCAACATACCGTACAGTAGTCGAGACCGCCGCTTGGCGCCCTCGTCCAAAGAACTCAAAGTCACTGCTGTCTGCTGCCGGCCATAATCACGAAGCTCACTGCTGAACTCAGGTTCCAAGCATGATAAATACTGTTCGAACGTCCAGCTCCACTGAGGCCATTGCGCAAATTCCTCATCGCGCGAGGTTGGCCGGAAAGGATCCGGCTTCGGCAAAACCTTGGTAAGGTCTCCAACTCCCATAGGTCGAGAACCTTGAGCCGTACTCGCAAAAGCCGCTGCTTGAGCAGCTGCACTGGCAGCTTGCGTAGCCTCTGACATGCGTTGCATAAGGACTCTCAAGTCGGCAGCAGTCATAGCAATCTCAGTTCCCGCATTGGTAGGGCTCGTTGGCTGAAAAGGGTTTGTAGGCGGTGGCTGCGCAAAAGCTGCAGGGCCAAATGGTTGCGCCGAGGCAGTGGCTCCAGGAGGGCCTGTGAGCTCCTCGTCTGTCTCTTCACCAATATTCGCCATTGCTCTGTAAAGCAGGGCAATCAATCAATCTCAATCACCTCCTTGCAACTGTTCAAACAAAGATTGGCACCAAATGTGCGTCGGAGCCCGGGCCCTTGCAAATCAATCGGCTGGTCCGGAGGGGCCTGCAGTTCGGAGAACGCGGCCTCACTCGAAGCAGCACCTGTAGAAAAACTGAAAGCTTCCAAATCTCGCTCAAACAAAGCGCGCTCCTCTGTAGCAAAAACTGTGTTGTGTATCAAGGCTTCAGGAATTGCTTCTTCACACACGTCGTCAACTGCAAAGACGAAAAACTTCCTTGAGGTGGCTGTCCTTCAAACACCGGTGGGCAAAGTCCCACACCTGCTGAGTAGTTTCCAGAGAAGCCAAGTTCGCCTCCAGCGAACGTTGGGCGGTACTCAAGATATTCTGCCACCCTTCAGCGGATCTGCCAGGAGGGCGTTCACGCTGCAGCAGTTGCTCAAGATGCAGTTCTGTGACTCTGGCCTTGATGGCTTCCAGAGAAGCCAAAGAGGCAGCCGTGCTGCCGGGAAGAGGCGCGAGCGAATCGGGGCTGAAGGTGACTACACACCTAGGCCCTCAACCCAAAAGTCAGAAGAGAAAAGTTCAAGCCCGATGGCCCCTGAACAGAACCCAAAGAAGGTTCACGTGTCTCGAAGCTGGGTCGGCCCAGCTCCGCTACCATGAAAACGTAATCGGACCTTTCCACAAACTCAGAGCCTGGTAAGTAGCGGAGTTCTGCAATTCACAATGTGCTCCATGAAATTGGGCTCATGCCAAAATCACGTGTTAACACATGTAAAACTGTTCAAGCAACGTGTGTACAAAGGGCAGGGATGTAATGTTTCATCACGTAGACAGACTCGCTGCGCTCCCAAGCGGTTTGGACCGCCCTCGGAACGGGAGAACCCATAGGCTGCCAGGGTCTCGGCCCGAGAGGCCGTGAAGGCGGACGGCAAACGGCTGCCCCCTCTTAGTTGTCTTAGTATGCCAGCATACCGCGCGAAGACTATGCCCTGTGAGAGAGAGGCTTTTAAGGCTGATGCGCTGCAGATCTCCGAAACGAAGGCCTCCATCCGTGCAGGGCTAGCAGGAAGCCCGCAAGGAGAAGGCATAGCTCCAGAGGGCAGTCCGACTGACAGATACGGCGCTCCCATGCTGCAACGACGGCGAGCGGAAGTGGCAGTGCCTCCCTCCTATCGGTATCTGCTTGTGATGAGAAGGATCTGATAAGGCGGTCTGAGAGTATCGCAGAAAGCTGAGCTAGGCCTGCTGTTTTAGCTAGTAGCAGCTAGCCATGCTAAGGCTTTGAGCATTGGCGGACCCGTGCGGCACACCTCCCTGTCTTCTTCCAAGCTGGAGTGGCAGGCCCAAAGAAGGTCCCCTACCTAGGTAGGACCTAGGCTAGCGACAGAAATCGTGCTGATGTCAAGACTGTTGAGAATGAGGCACTCGAGGAACTGCCTGCAGGCTGATAGGTAAGTCTCCAGCGTGCCGGCTGTAAAGGGCAAGATACTCTGGCTGAGCAGCTGATGCGAATATTTGGCCTGCTGAAGGCTGCGGTACAGGTCCGAGGACCCAGAGGAGTTCCTTCCACTGCTCCTGTGCCTTGGCTTTTCTGGAGGCCTCTTGGCCCCGTCGCATGACCTGAGTGGGCCGTCGGCTTGGGCTGGCGCTGTCGTGTCGGGAAGGCGAACACACCTGAGGAATGGGCGTCCCAGCAGATTCGCGCTGAGGCCCCGGCGGCGGGGCGAGTCCCCCTTTGCTGAGGGAAGGAGGGAACCGAGGGCGCAAGGGACTCAGGTGCCGCCTAATGCCAGAGCCTCTGTACTCTGTACGGTCCTAGGGCTAGGCTAGGTAACAAAAGGCTAAGGTGACAGTAAGGCGGAAGGCTGAGAAAAGGCTGGCAACCGTAGAGGCCTGCGGGGGCTCAAAAGGGCTACGATTAAGGTCTGTAAATTCTTTACAGCGCGAGCACTGATGGCCCGTATGCTTGTCGTCGTTCTCAACCGTATTACGGATGATCTCGCGACCACAGGCTGAATGGAAAGGGCAGAAAGGCACGGTCGAGCATGGAAGGCCGCAACGCATTTCTCCCTGGCTGCCCATGTAGTACACACGGGAAAAGGCTGGATCCAACTCGTAGGTGTGCGGCAACGTAAGGCTGGGGAGGATAACGCAGTTGCGCATGTTGGGGCAAGGCAATCTTGGCAGGGCCATGGCAGGCATCCTGTAGAGGTAAGGCTGCTCCGGAGGCTCGATCGTCTTGTGCTTGCGGCGGTCAGACAAGGCTTCTGGAAGGCGTTTAGGGTCTTGAAGGCAAAGGGGTGGCACTGACTGCCTTCCCATATTGCGGGGGTTGGACCTCCCCGGCGCACCGTAGTGCCAATAGCGAAGGACTCCTGCGTCGGCTGAAAACCACTCCGGGAGTGGGCTGCAAGGCGCAAGGTGCACGTGATGGGCTGAAGGCTGCGCATCTTGGTCCTCTGCGAGGGCTGCAGGACGTCCGGTCCTGGCTCGATGGTTTAGAAAAAGGACTCCACGTCGATTTCCACGGCTGCGTCTGGGGGCTCGCCGCCAAAGAAATTAATCCACGTACGGCAGTCGTAGATGACGGCTACCCCGAATGGTGGGGGAGGGCGGTAAGGACCAGTGTACCTGGGCTGGTGTTCGGCTGCCAAAAATGCCGGCGTGAAGCAAACGCCTTCTCTGGTCTGGCTGTGTAAGGCTGAGTGGGAGGCAGGGTCCGTGGGTGGAGGGGGTTGGGTGAGGCTGGCGTTGGGGAATGACGGAAAGAAGGCGGGCGGGGTGACCTGGAACTTGTCGGCTGTCTAGGCTCCGAATTCCCTGGCCACCCCCAACTCAGGGCGCTTGATGAGCTGCCAAAGCTCGTGGCGGTTGATAGGCTTTGTCTGGGCTTCGGGGTCAAAGTAGAGGAGTGGAAAAAGCTGTTGATGCGTGGCTGCGTGGATGATGGCCGGCATGCCTATAAGGTCTCCCATCATAGAGTAAAGGCCGTCCTGAGGCGGAGCATGAAAGGCTGTTGAAGAGGCAGGTACTCGCCGTCGGCTCCGGCTTCGATAGGCTGTTCCGTAACGGCTGTGGGCTCGGCGTCGGCCGCGGCGGCGGATGGCTGAGAAGGCTGTGCTGTAGTATCCGCTTCCTCCAGGTCCTCCGAGTCCTGAGGTGGGACGTAGTCAAAACAAGCTGGGATAGGGCCTGTGTAACATCCGTCCTGGGCGTTGTAATAGGCTTCCTGGTTCTGGTAGATAAGATGGCTACGCGGGGATAGGCCAGAGGAATTATCGGAAGGCCGAGCATCGGCTGGTACGGCTTTCGCGACGGCTGCCTTCGCTGACGCGGAGTGGGCTGCCCGAAGCTTTTCCAGCTCTTCTGGAGGCAAAGTCTTAAGCCAGTCGGAGAGAGGGTCTCGATCTGACGCCATGGCGGCGGCTGAGACTGATCCTCCCATAGGCCCGCTGAAAGGAAATGCTGAGGGAGCAAAGTAAACGCTGCTAGGGCAACAAACTCCTCATGGTGCAACAAGCAGGCAACGGTCCTGCAGGTCCAGACTGCTGTAGGGCCGCTGACCTGACCGGACGGGAGATGGCAAAGGGCCGCGGCTGAGAAAAGAAAAAGCCGGCCTGGATAAGGCAAGACCTGAGTTTGGAGAAGTGAAACCCCTCATGCTATTGGCTGTAAAGGAGCGGCGGGCACAGCTTTTTTGGCAGAGGCCATCGGCAAGGCTAGGCTTCGGGATCTCCTTCGGAGTCCACCAGGGCTGAAGATCCTTGATACTGGCACGCATCAACTGCCACCTCCGTAAAAAAGGCTGCTATGGGAGGGAAGGCTTGCTGAAGAGTTAGCAACAGCCCAGCCAGCCTTGTATATGTCTGATCAAGGCGAATCTTGACGGCATCGATCTTGGAGCTAATGAAAACCCAAGGCGAAAGAAGGCTGCGAAGTCGAGGCTGTTCGTGGGCTCGACGGCTATGGTGCCACAAGGCTTGCTGGGCCCCACGGCGATCGGCTTCCAGGATCCCGATGCAGGCTTCCATGGATCTGATCCGGTCGGCTAGGGACTGCAGGGTCACCTCCTCAGGGGGCTCTTGGCTGAATTCCTGATTGGAAGGCTGAGGCTGTACTGCTTCATAGGCTGAGCTGGTCCAGACAATCCAGCATTCATGCGGCCCATGGCCGAGAGGTTCGTGATGTTGGCTGTCGGCTGGCCCTGATTCCATTGAAGGGCAGGGCTATTGGCGTAAGAAGGCCAAGGGGTGCGTTGTGCACGCTGATCTTGGCGGCGGGGCTGCTGGTGCCCCTTCATGGTGTCTCAGCCGAAAGGTCTGCATGCAGGTGCTAAGAAAGGGGGCAACCTGTTAGTGTCAAGGCCGCGGCTCCGGAGAAGGCCAGAGTGGTCATGTGGAACCTGAGAAATCGGCTGAGTCCGGCTGTGCATCCGCTGAGGAAGGGCTGAAGCCAGGTGATGTCGTGGGTGGAGCAGGAGGCAATGTACCTGATGAAGCAAATCGGGGCTTGACTTGAAAGCATGATGGGCATCTGAGGCCGGCCCGGACGAGCATCTTGGCACATGTAAGTAAGGGCGTTGATGGCTGAGGGGCGGGCCTGGGCTCGAAGAAACCTGGGGGCGCGGATCGAAGAAGCAGTGCCAATTGCAAAAATGGGCTCATGGAAGGCTTCAAGTATCGGGTGGGTTTGACTGGCTTTCGAGTAGGCGTAGGAGGGCTGAGGCTGCAGCGGCCAACACGCTGTAGGTGCCTGAGGGAGAGCAAAGCATAAGGCCCTAGGTGCTGAATGCGCGACAGCTCGGCTATCTGAGGGCCCGGGATGGAAGGCAGCAAGGCCATCTCATCCGCGGGCCTCGGTGATGCGCTCCGCTATGTAGTCGTGGCAAGCTTTGTTGAGAAAGCACAAGGCAGCAACTTCCTGGCGTGAACCTGCAAAGAGCAGGATGTTGGCGCAGGGCGCCACTCCGAAAA